CATGTCGTTGCATTAAGCCAGTGCGCGACAATTCTAGTGTACAGAGGGCTACAGTTGTGCGCTCTCACATCTGAATGAATACCATTAACTTTCATACGACGGAATGCGCAGGCTAAGGCCAGTGTTTTGGGTCAACGAAGTCAGCTACTATCCTATGAATTCAATATGTAGCCTTTGTCCGATGTCTGACAGCTGAGAGGAAATCGCTTTCTCCACAAGGATCTGGCCATCTCGTTTCCTATCGCCTTCATCTACAATGGTGAACGTGACTTTCTCGAGGTTCTTGAGTCTTTGGAGGTTTAACGCCCAGTTTATGCTCGACCAAGGCATTTCGGCGACGTCAGGAGGTATGAAGAAGGCGAAGTCGATTATGAGGCGGACGGTGCGTATGGTGGGGGGAAATGTCGAGAGAAGGTGGGCAACCGACTCCAGGATTGGGACTGAGTCCTCGAGGTATCCGAGCTTGAAGTGCATCACGAACTTTTCGAGCCCCTCGCAGGGAGCGAGTGTAAACGTTTCATTCCAAGCCTCCTCCACCGCGGCTTACGACAGGTGCACATGTCAGAGGACGCCAATTATCCGAAATGTATGCTAGCTTACCCGCTACGACCACGTGGGGCCTCGCCACCCATGTGGCGTCCCAGAGATCGAGTGTGAGCTCTTTGAACTGCGGCCCAAACGACTTGAATGCCGCGTTGAGAGCTAGGAGGTCGTACTCGTCCCTCAGATCGACGACGAGCGAGGTCAGCCGCCCCAAGGATGACGCAGCGAGACCACGGATGATAGGCACGCCATTGGGTTCTCCGCGGATGGTCCACTTGCACGTGGGCACAGAGGGCTCGAACGGAAAAGACTCTGGCCAGATTTTGTTGGCATCTGGCCTGTAAAATACATTCAAGTCAATTTGGGTAGGATGAAAGACGCGAAGATGATAAAGGGAGTCTCGCCCTTAACAGTACCGACATCGTTCATTTCGAGGGTTTCGATGAGGGCGGGCTGATGATGCGGTAGGGCCACGGATTTGACAATAAGGGTATCCAAGGTGACCTTAGTCAGGCCCGGGAGAGCCTGAGCGAGGGCGAGGAGCGCTGCAAGATCCACAAAGCAGTAGTTGAGAGATACAGCTATCTTCGTGCCATCTTCGCGAACTTCGCACTCGACCTCGTCAAATTCATCCAGCATCGACCTCTCCATGGGCAACTCCCCACCCTCGACATGCAGGATCTGTACGTGCGCCGCCAGATGAGGAGCTCCGTCGAATCTGCGTGCGAGATCTGTCCAGTCGGGTATCTCGAGCTCGGGGTACTCTGGGTGGGGCATCTCCGGCACCAGCTCGGGAGCGACGGTGATCTCGCGAAAGAGTGCAGGACGGGAATAATCCGACCACTCTTTGCATACGAGGGTACAGGATGACAGGGACACTTTGTCCTCCCATAAATGCTCGAAGATCTCGTGAAGGAGCTCAGCGGGGAGGTCTGTAATGCGGCAGTCCCTCGACATCGCACAGAGAGGTCAAGGTCGAAGGAACCGGGTGTATCGAGTGTGACCTCGTCGTAGATGTTAGCCAAGAAGCAAAGCGCTTATAAGAGCCAGATGGATGATGGATGGAAATCCAGATCGCCATTCCTCGACTGGATATCCGCTTTCTGAGCATCACAGCGTTTGTATATGCACTATGAGGATTTCGTCGGTACACGTATATAGTCTACGCGAATGGAACCCCTCCCTCCAGATTCTGGTTCGAAACTGGCTGCAGCGATATATGCCCACGGAAGTGGTGGCGGTCATGAGCTTCACTGAGATGATGGGATATCCTTTTACACGCGGCGCGGCCGGGAATGCGGCCATACGGAAAATCGCATTCCTTCCAAACGAATGTGGTAAGAAGGATGGTCGAATCTTTGAGTTCTCCCGAGCGCGAGCGGGCGGGCCATGTCTCTAAGGAGCTCGTGCCAGCAGCTACGCTGAGTTACGCGCCTCGTCGGCCAGAAAGCTTAAGGTCGGAGCGTAGTCAAAAGGCGTGCCCAGTCTTTGCAGCTGAGCAGGGCTCAGCTTGAGTTCGCTGCGATATCGTACCGGGCCATGTGACGCCTATCTGACGGAAGTCGGGAGAATTGACGGCAGACGCCCGTTTTCGCTCTTTCGATATATCACTACATAACTGCAAGTTGAAGCCACTGAAGAGCTACACACCGATTGACCTTGGACCTATGTTAAGGGTACATCCAGCTATCCTTCGAGCTATCCAGAAGCATGAACCGGGGGTCACCACCCAGAACAAGCCATCCTACGTCCAGTCATCGAGCGGCAAGGCCTATCTCACCAAGATCGGGTCGTTATCCGAGACAGAGCAGTTCGCGGCCGAAGCTGAAGCACTAAAGGCCATCCAGATTGCGGCACCAAAACTTGCACCGCTGCTCATAGACTCGGGAGTTATAGATTCGGAGACAGCTGAGCGCGACTCCGAGGTGGGAAGGCCGTATTTCGTGTCGGAGTACAAAAACATGAGGTCTTTGACCGATGCAGCAGCCAAGAAGCTGGCAAAGAGATTGGCGACAGAGATGCACGCCTATCAGAGCACCCAAGGGTTTGGATTCGCAGTGCCAACGTTCTGCGGAAGGACGAAGCAGGATAACGGCTGGTACGCTTCATGGCATGAGTGCTATGACGCGTTGATCGGCGGACTGCTTAACAAGCTGAAGGACGAGGGTGGGTACGAAGAGCTGTGTCGCAAGGGAGAACAAATACGAGAAAGGTGCGCAGTCCGTTTGACCGCTGCCAGGTGTCGAACTTAACCGCCTTGGTAGGGTTATACCTGCCCTCCTGAACTCGCTCGTCATTCAACCAGTGCTGCTGCACGGCGATCTGTGGGTAAGTACACGCGGTTGCTTTCTGTCTGCGACCAGATACCATGATCCCCCTTCCAGAGTGGTAATACGGGCACGGACGAAGATACTGGAGAGCCCGTCATCTTCGATCCCTCATCGTACTTCGGTCACAATGAGGCTGAGTGGGTCTCATATGGGGTGTTGAGAAGTACAAACTCACCTTGACTGCAGCTTAGCCATTGCTCGCATATTTGGTGGCATCCCGAAATCCTTCTTCACTGCCTATCATGAATATCTTCCCAAAACTGAGCCTGCCGATCAGTACGAGTTACGAGGCGACCTGTATGAGTTGTACCATTATTTGAATCATACAGTTCTATTTGGAGTGAGTCTTAGCTCTCTCGATAC